TGCAAAATTCCAGTAATTCTCTCTATTGAATTTGATAATTCTTTCAATGGTGTAGATGACATCATGCAATGGTTCCAAAATATGAAATTCATCGAGAGTAATTATGATTACTATGAATAGATAAATTATCTATGTATACAAGATGAGACGGAAAAAATTTTCCTTACTAGGAATTGGAATCACTTCAAAAGAATGAAACTTGAAAGTGAGGACGAATTCAAAAGAGGAAGTAAAACAAAGAAATAGTCGAAGAAAAATAAATAAATAAACATCGAAAGAAACACATCTTCAAATTGTTAAGCTTCCCCTAAACAAATGCTTTCCAAAAAATAATGAAATGCAACATGCAAATGATATATATATATATATATATATATATAATTTGTATGAGAAGCCAATCATTATACCAACAAGAATGATAGAGTACAAAAACACATGTAGTTTTGAATCCTTCTTCACAAACTAGCACATTCTCTAAAATATAACATGTTTGAGCAATATAGCCGAAAATTGACGTTACAAAACGTAATTAAGTCTTACATCATCAACTTAACTTTAACCCTTAACCTTACCAGACATTCGCTCCACTTGTCACTTAAAGTGTTTTGGGGTGAATATACACAAAACATCTTTACATGAATGCTCTATCATAGACCTGCAAATTGATCCCGTCTCCACTTGTCACTTAATGTTTGGTAAAGCTAGAATTTCATCGATCAAGCATAATTCGTATGCAAATAAGTTTGTTTGGCAAGCATTGATCAACTAGCCATATGTACTGTATTTTTTTATTTAACAAATACGAGAACTCTCTCACATAAAATATATTAATATTACATGCTATACCACGTACTAACAATAAGCTTCTATTCACATATACCACTTGCTCGAAGTTTGTTTCTGATCCGACACATTTGTGCCATAGCATCACTGATGTCCAATCTTTCTCTAGGCAACTCTGCTGAGCAAGCAACACCAATTTCTAAAACTGACATTAAACTTTTTTCAATTTGGATGTGATTCCTTTTGCTATCCTCGTCATGACAATCACTCTCTTGAACAAGAACAGGATCCAAAACCTCTTCCACTTTCTCCGGCAGAGCTGCCTTCACAAAGTTATGAAGGTTTGAAGCTCCCTCAAACATGTTATCGGTTGGTCGCTTTCCTGTAAATATTTCCAACAGGAGGATACCAAAGCTGTACACATCACCTTGTGTCCACACTTCATGTCCCATGCCATATTCTGCATTCCACAATTCAGAACATTATATTCTAATTTTCTAGTGAAGTGCTAAAAGCCCATTTCATATTTGAAAATTTTAAAATAAATACTGCACAATCTTAAAATACTAGCTAGGAAAAAATAGACAACTGTGTATTTACCTGGAGGAGCATAACCAATAGTTCCCTTGATCCCTAAAGAACTTGATTGATTTCCCGAAGAATTTTCAGCAGCTTTTGGGAGGAACCTCACCAACCCAAAGTCACCTACATGTGCAACCATGTCCTCATTGAGAAGAATATTGCTGGGTTTGAGGTCGCAATGAACTATTGGCGTCTCACAATGATGATGGAGATAATCTAGTGCCATAGAAACATCAATAACAATATTCAACCTCTGAGAAATTGTTAAGCTCCTTGGCCTCTGACTTGTCTCACCAATTGTATGAGTTGGATGCAACCATTCCTCCAAGCTCCCGTTAACCATGAACTCATAAATTAAGGCCTTGAAGTCGTGACCGCGATAATCAAAACCAGAACATGCCGAGAGTACCTTGACAAGATTACGGTGTCTAATATTTCTTAAAGCCTCGCACTCAGCAATAAAACTTTTGTAAGCTCCCAGACGAGCAAGGTTGAGTACTTTGACAGCAATTGTTTCACCTTGCTCAAGTACTCCTTTATAGACAGACCCAAAACTGCCCATACCAATCAAGTTGACAGAGGAAAATCCATCAGTAGCTTTGAGAAGACTTTGGTAAGAGACTGAGAGAAACTTTTCTGAATCACTTGAAGTCCGCTCTATTTTTGCCCTCTGTGGCCGACGGAGGTACAAAAAGACTAGTGCAAAAGTAACCCCAAGAATCCCACAAACCAGAGAAATTATCAATTTCATTTTTGGGCTTAATCCTCCCTTGTTGGAATGTTGGAGTTTGCACTTGGGCAAATGGAATCCAGGAATTCCCCCACAAAGCTTGCTATTTCCTTCAATCGATGTGGCAGTTGCATTCCTGAAAACCCCCTTCATTGGTACCATGCCCTCAAAGTTGTTATAAGATAGATTCAAAGATTGCAAAACTTGAAGACGCTCTAAGAATTCTGGAATCGAGCCTGACAAGTTGTTGCGAGAAAGATATAATTCTTTGATTCCTCTTAGTGAACTCAGAGATGATGGAATCGTCCCTTGAAAGAAGTTTCCTTGCAGGTCTAGAGATTCAATTTTTATGCAACTACCAAGACTTGTTGGAATTTCCCCAGACAGCATGTTTTGAGAAACACGAAATTTCTCCAGATTTATCAAATTTCCTACTTCTCTGGGAAGGAAACCAGTCAACTGATTTTTAGAGAAATCCAACTCCACATAGGAAGATGACAGACCAATGACTCGAGGGGATATGATACCGCTGAGGTTGTTATTAGCAAGAATCAAGGTAATCAATTTCTGGCACCTACCTAGACTTGAGGGAATATTGCCGTCAAGTTTGTTACCGGCTAAACTCAATATGGATAGTTCACTTAAATTCCCAAATGACGACGGGATATAGCCGGAGAGATTGTTAAAACCCAAATCTAATTCGTACAACTTCCAAAGCTTTCCCACATCAGTGGGGATGCTTTCTGAAAATTGGTTCTGAGCAAACCAAATGCTCTCTAGGTTAGCCAGATTTCCAATCCCATGGGGGATGCTTCCTGATATTTTATTGTATTCTACATGCAAGAATACAAGAGAAGATGACAAGTTGGCCATGCATTGAGTTAAATTGCCCCCAAAATTGTTTGTATCGAACATCAGTTGTCGTAAACGGGTAGCATTAGTCAGATCGCAAACAAAGCTCAAGTCATCGATTTCCCCCCTTCCAAGATTGTTGTAAGCAATATTCAAGGACTCAAGATTAACTAAATTTTTCAAAGAAGGAACTTTCCCCTGAAATTTGTTTATTTCCATCCAAAGATAAGTTAGAGTTGAGGCATTAGATAACGAAATGGGAAGAGGTCCAGTAAATTTGTTGTGGCCGACCCCTAAATATTCTAGACTTGGAAAGATAATACCTAGGTTTGGAGGTAAAGTGCCTTGGATTCTGTTGACTGTAACATCAAGGATACTAATGGAAGAGAGATTATAGAGCGAGGGAGGGATCACATCTGAGAACCTATTACCACCCAAACCAAGAACTTTAAAATTGGCCATTTGACCAAAGATATCTGGAATACTCCCATAAAAATCATTATCAGGTGCTATAAGCAACTCAAGAGATGATAAATTGGCAAAGGAGTAGGGGATACTTCCTGTAAGTTTGTTGACGAGTATCGAAATTATTCTCAACTTCGACAAAGTGCCAACCTCCTCAGGAAGTCTTCCTACCAGAAAATTCCCACCAAAAGCAATTCTGGTTAGTTGAGAGCAACGCGATAAGTTTGAGGGAATTTCACCGGTAAGGGAATTATTCTCCCAAACTATATCTTGCAATCTTGAGAGACGGCCGATTTCTGGAGGAATTTTGTGGCTCAAGTTATTGTTGGTGAGAGAAAGTACTCTCAAAAAACTCAAATTCCCAACATGTGGTGACAGAGAGCCTGAAAGATTGAAGGACTGCAGGTTCAACACCGTGACCCTCTTGTGACGACGACCACATGTGACACCACGCCAATTGCAAAAATGGTTGGTTTCGTTCCATGAAGTCAAGGCTTCAACAGGGTCATAGGTTATCCTCGCCTTGATTTCAAGCAAGGCCAATCGATCTGTCTCATTTCCACTCAGTCTCAAGGCAAGGCATGAGTGAAAAATAAGGACATGAAAGCAAAAATATGAGAAAAACAAAACTGAAAAGAACTTGTTCATCCCCATGGTGGTTGCTACTTGTTGTATGCTTACAGCAGTTCTGAGGAGAATACATCTAATTTATAAGCAACCTGCCGCATAATATCAATACGTTGAGGCATATTCATCCCCCAAAACACGCAATTACTGTCCTAGTTAATGATGCCACGGTATTGGGGTCGGTTTTGTTTAACATTTTGCGGGGTTTTTTTTTGCATGAATCGGATTGGAAATAAATTTTTAATTTTCATTTCAAAAATTTTGGATCAGGATAATCTCACATTTTTTGGAACATAATTCGGAAACTTATATATTGTACAATTCTTTCATTAAGTAACCACTGAGGCACTTGTTATTCACTAACTCATTGTACACTTCGTTACTATTTTGCAAATAACTTACTACGGTCTAATGATATTCCTCTTTCACTTGTAAGTGAGAGGTCTCAAAAAATAAAAATAAAAAACACTCAGCACCAGATTATAGAATGGAATAAGTATACACCATGTGGGTCAACTATATTGTCTCTAGTGTTGGAAAATGCCATGATACACTGATATATAGTGGTTAGGAATCAAGATAAGGAGAGTGCAAAGTGTGGTAAGTAATCAAGATAAGGAGAATGCAAATTGAATCCAAGGACGACCCCTCCACGGGTCCATTAGGTTTTAGAAATTAAGATAAGGCTTGACTGGTCATTAGGAAATTAAGATAAGGTTTTAGAAATTAAGATAAGGCTTGACTGATAGAGCATGTAATTGCTTTAACTACATCTTTATTAAAAAATTCATCGGGTGGGAAATGCAGAGCGTTGCAATGGATACATGAAGACCGAATATTGTAGTGTGAATTAAGTGTGCCGCATGATACATCAATGTCAACATTTCTTTTTTTCTTAAAATAGCCCCAAAGATTATATGATAATACAGAACTCGCCAAACCACTTACCCTAACAAAAAAATGCCGAGAATAAACTTGTGTCAATATGTAGCCAAAGGGAGACATAAACTACAAATCAACAGTGACTAAAAACAAAATCTCAGAGACCAAACATGCACAAACATGAAGCAAAAAGAAAAAGAAAAATTGTTGGAAAAACTGACCCTTAATTGTGATTCTATAGATCATGCGCAACCCTCTCCTAAAACCAAACTAAACACAAGATAAGCTAAATAACAAATGACTTCATTCAATGAATTTACAAAATTAACTGCAAATCACTAAATTAGCCTCTTGAATTCGGCCAGAGTACTCATCAGGAAACCCAACATTTTTCAGAATATGATTAGCATTTTGACCTGTCATTTTCAATGTGAATTTCACACTTGGTTTCGACTCTTGTATTGTCAACCACTTTTGTTCCAAATCTCGTATTCCAGTAACCGGTCCCAACATCTTGCACTTTAATAAAAGAGCATTGTAAGATTGTAGAGATGCATAGAAAAGATAAAGTTAATGACAGAGAGCTAAGCTACTTCACCTCTTCCGTAAGTCCACGTCTCCACCCAAGCCTAAACATCCCAACATTGCCCCAATAGGTGTGTCATCCTGACCTGCAAGATTTACAAAGAAGAAGCAGAGAAATCGATGTATAAGCACAGAGCTTGTCATCCAAAATTCAAAGCTGAAAACGGACAGAAGAATTAAAGAATTGTGCCTATGAAAAAAATGAGAGAGCAGGTACCAGAACAATCTATGAAGAAAAAGAATTTGAGGTGAATGAGCGGATAAATTGCTTACATAAAAAGCTCATTTCAGATCGATGATCCCTTTCTCACCTTAATAACATTTAACAATTGCAATTAGTAAAATTTTCTTAATAAGGGGAAAGGCGGAAGTAATAAGGATTAGAAATGGAAACCTTATATAGTGATTAAGGCCCTTGAATTAACTTGCAAAGCTTGAATAGTCCGTCCCTTCATGCAGCTGCAAGAACCAGTCGTTAATTTGGAAATTATTCAATACGTGTTAAAACATGAATCAGAAAAGGCACAAAGCAAAAAACGAAAATCATTTACCTTAATGACAAAGCACTCTGGAGTCTAAACGGTTACATTATCTTATTGTTTAAAAACTGAAAATCTACAAAGTGTTAACATTTGCACATATATCAGAAAAAGCATTTTCGCTTGTAAAACCGACAACTGTAACGTAAACTACTAAATACCAAATTAAATACTCGAACATGACAACCCCAAACATAAACAAAATTCTATATGAATTCAAAAAAAATATTAATTAGGGAAAAGAATCCCAAACATAAACAAAATCCCAAACCAATTAAATAAAACTCAGGCCAACCCGTGCATTCCTCATCTTTCCCTCCTTCCCTTGTTTTTTTTACCCTCATGCCATTAATCTCTCTCCTCTTAGAATTGTATAAACAACGGCAGAAAACATCAATACAGTAATGAAAACAAACAGAGACCTCAAGGAAAGAAAAAAAACCCAATTACGCATCAACTTCATGTTTCTATAAAAGAGATGAGATTATTGGAGATACAGAACCTTGGTTAGAGTGCAAGAGCAAGACTGAATGAAATGATGAATCTTAAAAGAGAGATATTACATGGATCAATCGTCATCATAGAAACATGGAAACTGGTAGTGCAGCTGGCTGCCTCAGGATCCTCAGCCCCACAAAAGTCGTAGAACTTGCCAGCATATGGTGGATTGTTGGGTCCCAATTCATAGTACTTTAAATTGATAAAATAAAAATTAAAAAAAAAAAAAAATCAATCAAGTAAAGCTGTCATTTCTAATTAATCAAATACCAGACCGTAAGAAATATATAAGCATAGTTACTGAAGAGCAAATTCTCTCTCTCTCCCCCCTCAATATTTCCAGCCAACTGGGAAATAGAAAATACAACCCAAAATGCCCAAAAAGCAGAACCTCAAAGACAAAAATAGAAAATAAAAAAGGCATTCGAAAAGAGAAAGTCGTTGAAATTTACCCAAAATGTACAGAGATCCAGGACTCACAGATAAATTCATTTCAGGATCAAACACTAAGGGGATGCAAAACTTTACCCTTTTCTCATTTGCAGGTACCAAAATCAATTTACAAAATTAAGGTTAGGGTTTTCATATTCTGAATTAGGCAATGAAAGTCATGTGAAAAGTTCGGAAATAACCAAACTAACATCCAATTTAGCACACACCTAATAGAAACATATGTAAGAAACTATTTCCAATTCGTCATTCATTTATCAAACACAGTAATACAGTCATAGAAACACTCTTAACTCACATACCAAAGTTGAATTAATTAAATTGGATGTTGGGGTCAAAATTTTGTGTCCGCCTAAGGACATTTGAGTCAAAGAACTCAAATATCAGAGATACAAAACAGAGAAGCTTGTGAAATCATTTATAAAGGCTACCTCCTTTTGGTTGAAAAACTGAAGGGTGACGCCAATTCTTCTTCTGCTTCCACCTCCTTATGGAACTTGACCCGCTAGTCATATTTGTACATGAAGCTGAAATCAGCAACCAGTCAGTACCTTTGGCAAGCTCATGGAGGTATGACAACATCTATGGGAAGATTATTGCAACTCTAATTAACAAAGAAGCATTCATTTGAGGATGTCAATGAGGGAGAGAAGAAGAAGAAAAGAAGTGCTAGTTGAGGAACAAAAGAATTTTGGTGCTGGATTCGGTTTGGAGGTATGGTCTTAAGAATTTACAAACTGCCTATATGATTCGCTTGCTTTCTAATTCTTTTTTACTACCTCTTCTTTCATGAAGGTATAATCGTCACATTATTTTCTAACATAAAATATACAGTCAAGACGTTTAAAACATTGCCCATAAGTTAATTGAGATGGGTTTTGTTTGAGTAGTTGGTGACCTTCACAGTTGACCAATTACGGCTGACATGTGATTGATAGTATAGGAATATCTATTTAAAATAGTTAAAGGATTTCAAGGACGCCTCTAGACTTATTCTATTTAGAAGATCAGGTTGAATAATAGGTTTTGGCTCCAACGGATTTCTTGCATAGAAGACTTCACAAAATGATGTCAGATTTCAAATTTAAGGCATGTTTTTAAGTGCAATAAGATATCTCGAAACGTATCCTGAAGTTATACTAAAATTTCATAGAAAGAAGAAGAAAGAATAGTCCAAAATTTTACCCGTCCAATAACTCCATCACACTTATCTCCAATCAGAGCAATGATATCCTCAACAGACATAATTGTTTTATTTTGCGTACATATTTAAACACAAAAAGTAAACATTTTCGCATCAAATTCACATATAAAATGGTCCAAAAGTGCAGGCAATGGTATAGTGCTTATCCTATCCAATTAACAAAGATAAGCACTATTTGTCGTCAATTCAACATAATATAAAAAGAAACTACACCTGAGCAGTGGTCACAGGAACCAATCTTGTGCGATCAGTCAAACAGTGTTTATCCTCTCAAAGATCTGCATATCCATTATAACCCAATCTTTAGTCTTGCAAAAAGTGATATGCTAACTCCAAATTCCCATAAAAAGCCATCTTTCTACAACTTGAAACCAAAATTTAAGTGAATGGCCCCCCAACTAAGGTTATTGAACATGATTAACTATCCACTTATGACAAGTATCCGCAACCCTCAACCTTGTAACCTGAATCAAGCTGGTTTCACGCATACCAATAGAAAACCAAAATGTCAATGTTTGGGGAAGTTACCTTATTTGAAATACCACTAGAAAACGGAGCATACTTTTAGGCAAATATTGTTTAAACACCCAAACATGATATATTATCAAGAAGAAATGACGTATTATCATGAAGAAATTAGAATATCAAAGTCCTCAACAAAACATGAGGCACAATTATCACAATTAGAAAAATCACTTCTTCTCGTTATAAATATTCAATTCGAATCATTTCAAATAAAATGCACATAAATTCAAACCAGTACATGCACACAAAGGTAGGGAAAGTCATAACTGGGTCAAACATAAAAGAAAAATTTAAAGAATAGCTCAAGGAAACATTTTATCGATGAAGATTCAAGAAGGAATATGGTCAAGAACGAAACTATGAGGAATACCAAATACCTCACAGGGACACAAAACTACTTGAATGTACCCGAACGAATGTAAATCCAGCATTCTCTAAAAACTATCTCCATCCTACATCATCATCTACCCTTAAGCACAACCACTAAAATTGTAAAAGACCTGAAAACCATGATCTACACCACAAATCATACAACTAATCCATAAACCAATCAGTCATCAAGCATATTCCTTTATCTTTTCCTAATTTGTTTGTGTATTCAATTTATTTGCAATGCTCCAAAACAGTGAAATGCACATGATTTCTCTTTTCCTCCTAATCTGGAAAAACAAATCAGTAGCCAATCCCAATTTAAATTAACAGAAAGGGGAAGAAAAAAAAGACAAATTGAATTCAAAAGATTCTACATGATGTACCACACCACCATTTAGATTCACCATATCTCGCTTTCACCATTTAACGTATTTAGAATGGTTATTAGGGTGATTTGCTATCTAAGACTCGCTTGGGAGTTGGGAGCGAAGTTAGAAGTCGCAAGCTCTTGAAATGCAGTAATGAATTTGGATAATATTGGACATGGAAGAAAATATCACATGCACAGCAAGCTACAGCGATCATAAAAAAAATAAAATAAAATAAAGAGAGAGATCTTAAGCAAAAACCATGAATCCAACTCAAAAATGAAATCTTCCAAATAACATCTCAAACCATAACCCAAATCAAATGCACCAAATCCCACATCAAAAAATAAATTATACAAATTGACATATTGGTAGAAACCCAATAGAGATTTTAGAGAGAGAGAGAGAGTACCAGAGGGAGTGAAATATGGTTGTACCTGGAAAGCAACAAATAAATTATATAAATTGACTCTAACATTTGTTGACTCCAACAAATTGATACATAATAACAGTTGTTTGGGATATAGATATGGGTGTACCTGGAAAGATTAAAATTCACCATGCAAGCCGTATTCGTGGAGGACTTGCTCTAGTTCTTCCATAGTGATATACCTGATAATCAGAATGCATTTTGGCAACATTGTTATAAATAAGATGCTGATGATGATGAGTTATAACCTTACTCCATGCTATGTATAATTAACATTTAAGAGCATTATGTAAAAGATAAAAAAATAATAAAAACAAAAAGCCCATCTATTATGATCTCTGCATACCCTTGCTGTTTCGTAGGAGAGGCCGATGAACAGTGGCAGTAGAATTAAGCAACCAAGTTATGAAATACGAATTTAAAATGTACTTATTTACTGTGTCTGTAATGAATCTGTGAAATCAAATAGTTAAACCCTAAAAAGCACCGCTGCAAACAACATAAGAAAATTGAAATTAACCCTAAAGAAATTGGGAGAGAAGAATATGAAATGGGAATACCTTTCGGCCCTTTGAGTTATTGGCAAAAAAAAAAAAAAAAAAAAAAACCCAACAGAGCAAAAGCCTCCAACTCCAAACACTGTTGTGGGATTTTGAAGAGAGCAAGAGAGAGAGAGAGAGAGAGAGAGAGAGAGAGAGAGAAAACATCAGAAGAAATAAAGCAAGAGAGGGGGAACCAAAAGGGGGGAGAAGAAGAAGCAGCAGCTAAAGCAAAGCAGAGGAAGAAGAAATAAGGGAAAAAAAGGACGACTGAAATGAAGTGGGTATATTTAATTGGAATTTTGAAAGATTTTACTGGATGTATAAATTTATGAAATTTTATAGAGTTTAACTGATTTTTAGAGATTTCATGTAAAATTTTAATTTAATTCTCTCGAAATCTTATGGGAAGAGTTGAGACTCGTGGATACTTAAAATAAACTATAAAATCTCTTCAATTCCCTCTAATTCCTCAACTTTTCCAAATTCTTTAAATTCTAATTCTAATTGAATACACTAGAATGTTATAAACTTCTTTAAAATTCTAATTGAATACACCCAGATATCTAAGGATTTTAATAAATTATCTTAAAATCTTGATTGAATACACATTGAATTTCAGTTAATCATTTAAAATCCTGATTGAATACCCCTGAATTTATTTAAAAAAATTAAAATCCCTTAAAATCTCAATTGAATACACTCACTAAGTACGCAACCATATACTTATAACAACAACTAATCAAATAGAACTAAAAAAATATGGGGGATCATATCAATCGCACTTACCAAGTATTGAAAGATATCATTTCGAGCAACAAAGTCAGTCTCACAGTCAAGTTCAATAAGACCATCTCCAATGGAACAAACCTTTTGGCCCTCTAAGATATTAATATTTTAATGAACAGTACAGGGTCATCTTTACCTTCATCTCCAACCGAAGGCCAAAGGGTCATAAGGTTCGTTTTACCCCTACCACAAAAAACCGTCTCCAACCGAGGATTAAAGGGTTATAGGGCTAAACATAATTTATTATTTAAATTTAAAAACTATAACAACTTAAATTTAAAAACTACAAACTTATGTTTAAAAACTACAAACTTATATTTAAAAACTACAACTTAGTATCTACAGCAGGATCTTGTTGCACATCTTTGGTCCAAAAGAAGCATAGAGTTGGTGTTTAAGTTTTATATTGTTAAAAGTTTTTAAAAATGTTGTTTAAGTTTTATGTTGTTGAATGTTTTTTTTTATGTTGCATAATTTTTATATTGGTTAATGTTATTTAATGTTGTTTCATATTGTTTAATGTTGTTTCATGTTACTTAATTTAATTTAATATTGTATAATGGCTTATGAAGTTATAGGAAAAAAATAGAACTTAAAAAATATATGAAACAAATTTTGTAAAATAGAAGTTATAGGAAACAAATGTTGTCAAATAGAAGTTACAGGAAGTTACAAAAAAAAATAAAATTTAAAAAATGAAGTTATAGGAAGAAAAAAAATTTGTAAAAAACAAAAAAAAAACATAAAAATTAAAATTGTAAAAAAAAAACAAATAGAAGTTACAGGAACTTCTTTCGTTGCTTCGCACTAAATGCGAGGGGGATGTCGTTCTGCATGCTATGGCTCCATTCACTCCCCATGTTGGAGAAGGGTGCCTGGTCGAAAGAAAGTGTACGAATGGTGGAAACCAGCTTGACAAAGCTGGAGAGATTAGGAATAAGTGTGATTCCCACATACGGCGCCAAATGTTGATGCACAAAATCGGCGAGGACTTTGGTACAACATAAAGTGTCCAGTTTGTGACCTTCGCTAGGTTGCTCTGGTCATTAGTGTGGATAGGTATGTAAATGAATGGAGATAGGGAAGCAAACAACACAAGATGTACGTGGTTCACCCAAATTGGCTACGTCCACGGAGTAGAGGAGTTCTCATTAGTTGTGAAGGGTTTACACAAATACATAGGTTCAAGCTTTCATTTAGTGAGTTGTAGTGAATAGTTTAGTACAAATGACATTAGGGATTATTGTGGGAGAATGATCTCCTTTTATAGAAGAGAGTTTCTAGCTTTGTTCTATCATTGACACGTGTCCTGTTGTGATTGGCCTCTGATATCGACATGTGTTGCGCTATGATTGGCCTCTGATATCGACATATGTCGCGTTGTAATTGGCCTCCTAGTTGGAGGAAAAGTCTTGTGGGTCCTTGACAGTATACTGTTGACCGGTGCATAGTAGTTTTGGGATTGGTCAAGTATGGTACAAACATATTATTTTATAACTTTTCGGATAATAACACATGGCGCAACGAGAACGATTAAAAATCTTATCCGAAATTAGAAATAAAATTATTTTGTATTATTTTATAAATAAAAATAATAATAATATTTTATTGCCTATTGTCAGAGCTATTAAAGTGCAACGGTGAAGATGCAAAAGGCGATTATTGTTCATTAAGGACAGTTACTGTTCACTGGATGGATATCATAGTATATTACCTGGGGGTTCCCATGTTAGAAGTGCTCTTAAGTTTTTTACTTTACCATTTCCTGATGTTTGCACCAGAGAAGACCAAATACAAAATTCTATAATTGTAAAAAATAATGGGTAGTCAACCTAGTCATTGTTAGTGATATAGTTCCCTTTTATTCGCAAAATGAAATTGTAATGCCATTTCCCACTTTTTTTTCTGGTCAATGGTGGCATTACATTTTTGGTGGAAGCTGCACTGCCTGGTTTCAGGATGGGTACAACCCAGTGGCGGTTGATATGAAGGGAGACGAGGACAATTCTAGGAGCAATAAGAAGAGAAATCCATTCAGTGCTGATTTTTTCGGCTCTCTCTGCTATACTTTCCAGCACGGGAAACTTATAGAGCTCTACGGTGATCTAACCAGGATTGATTCTCGTCTCGATATTTGTTTAGCTTCAGCTTTGGCTAAAAGGGCTATTTATGGTTTGAAGAGTTCCTCTACTAATAGTGCAAAAGATCTGGTGTCCTCCCTTAGGATCAATATAATCTTTCAGCAGCAGGTATTTCTATTTATACCTTAATTGTCTAAATGTTGTGCACCTTAAGTTGGAAGAGAAATTTTAAATGCAGTTATGCACAATATGTTACAAAATCCACATAGTCATTTGCTAATTGGTACTTGTGGAAGTGCGTATGTAACATCCCACATCGACCAATAGAGAGAGGGTGACGTGCCTTATATGCACATGTGCACCTTCATATAGCACAAGGCCTTTTGGAAACTCACTGGCTTCGGGTTCCATTGGAACTCCGAAGTTAAGCGAGCTCGGGCGAGAGCAATCCCAGTATGGGTGACATACTGGGAAGTTCTCGTGTGAGTTCCCAAAAACAAAACCATGAGAGCGTGATCGGGGCCCAAAACGAACAATATAGTGTTACGGCGGAGTTGACACTAGGATGTGATAGTGTATGCCCTGTCTGATTTTGATAATTTGCAGTCATTTTTCTGCTGACGTATCTGTACAGTCGTTTTACTGCTCATGTGTTTTAATGTACGACTATTAGATCAGCGTAGAACTTTAAAATGAGAGGATGAAAAGCTGAGCTCCTTTATATGGCTATTAACATGCGTGGCTGGGGTGAATGTTTTGGTTACTGGGATGAAAATCCAATTGTTATTGACACATTACGTTTCCTTTGTAGATTTAAGGGCCAATTGTCTTTCGAACGGATTCCAGGATTGCACTTGACTGTGTTAGTATCGTGCCACTTTCACTTGAAGGTTGAAGAGAGTTTGAGTAGCAAAGCTTGGAGATAAAATTGCCTACTAGTTGATGAGTTTTGTAAGTCTTTCCGTCCTCATTTGTCCTGACTTGGGAGGGAGCCCGAGGATTTTCCTACGTCCATGTGTACATTTATTTGTTTATTATGTAGGATATTTCATATGATGCGAATGTGAAATTTGAGATTCGATATTAACATTAAATTTATAAATTGGAACCTATTCACCTCCCTTAAACTAGCATCTTCCTTCATTGAAATATAACATATGAGCACTCTATGACCACTATCTCCTTTCACACCATGGTGGATTTTGCGGATTTCCCAACCATCAATCTCTTTCTTGCAAAGTACTTTTATGACAATGATACATCGCCATGGTAAAGTCTCAAGCCAATGAAACAATTATAACTCATAAGTTTTTCTCCACTTAATATCATGTCATTAGCACAAATGCGATAGAGATGATACACCATGTTCAAACTCATTTCGAGACAGATGAGGACCCAAAGGAAGAGACAAATAAAACCTTCACAAACCCACCACTTGAACCCCAAAACCGAAACCAAAAAGAATTCGCGCTCCCTCACTCTTTCGACAGCCAACAATGGCGAACCTGAGGACGGCGATGGACTCAGCCTTCTGGGACTTGAACGTTTCTTCGCCTCAGACCCTTGAGGGCTCGGCCAAGGCCGCCCCTTTCCTCTCGACGGTGCTCGAGCCAGCCGAGCCCTTAGGATTCAGCAACTCTTTCTTCTGGGTGTTATACCTTCCTACAACCCCAATTCTTACAGGGACTTGGGTTCTTTCTCTCACCAGTCCCTCTGCTCAGACCAGCTACCTCTAACTGGTACACGGCTACAACTTCTTTGCTTAGCTATTGCCTATTGGGTTTTCTCAAATTTATTTTATTTTTCGTTTAATGGATATTCTTTTTCGTTTTACGTGTTTCTGTTGATTGGTTTGTGGTTTGTATGGTTACTGAGAAAATGATGGGAAATGCGTGTGATTCATTTGTTGTTTGTTTGGTTGCCGGGAAAGTTTGGAGAGAAGAACAATTGAAATTGTTGTTATGGGGTTGAATTGGGTAAAGGAAAAAGGTTAGGAAAGATAATTTGTCTCCTGTTTCCTGAGAAATGAACCTTTTTTTGTTCTCCAAATTCGTATTTTTGTAAACAATTTTTATGTTACTAATTGCTAAGGAGCCTCTGCTTCTAGGTTTGGTTTGTTCTTTGTTTGATATTTAGGAAGATGTTGGTATATTGTATAAACTTTGGGTTATTGGTGAATTACTTGATGTGAGAAAGAGAGACTGAGTGGAAAGCTTGACAGCCGAACAAAGCTTGTTTGCCTAGTTCTAGTGGTATAGCACATAAAGCATGAATTTTTTGTTGCCTTGTTATTTTACTGATTTGCAAGCGTGTTCTTATGTATTTCGAGAGCATCAAAGCTTTATCAGGTTTATCAGAGCACTGGTTGGGATTATCCCTATGCTTAGACCAAAG